GCGCCGCGGGGGACTTTATAGACAGACATGAAACGGACACATATTAGTTCTACTCAAGGCTGCTCCTATTGAAATGTAAATAAAATATTCAACCTTTCAACACGGAAAGTTAAGAGATTAAAAAAAAATGTATAAAAATAATAAAAATAAATTTATTTTAAATTAAAATGGAAATATTTAAATAGATTTAATACAAAAAATAATTAAATTAATTTAGATGTGAACGGTATAACGACTTACCACAACTAACTCAATAGTGCAACAATACCATATAACATGTGTGCAATAATGTGGCGAAGAAAGTTTTAGGCGTGCGGTTTTAGTCGGTTCGAGTCCGACATGCCACCGACAGGTGGTATCCGAGGGGATTTCCGCACGGAAAAAAAAAAAAAAAAAAAAAAAAAAAAGGTATGAGAGAAAAGGTGGATGGACTGCGTGAGGGAGGAGATGGCTAGGAAGGGAGTAAACAGTGAGATGACGCATGACAGAGTAGAATGGAAAAATCATACATAAATGATAAATGATATTTATTTCTGTAAGTAAATCTTTTCAGATATTTTTACAAGTCGAAAATCTGGCTTGACATCTGTATCACATAATGGAATGCAATAAATGTATTGAGTATTGAAGACTTGTCACGATTTATAATATTCGATTATTTAGTAATCCTTTATTCATACGTTGTTAGTAAGGTAAACATAGCCTAGCTTCAAACGCGTTAAATTTAAATACATTTCAAGTGACTTTCGACTTATTACACATAGTTTATTACAACTTATCACCATTTCATTGAAGTGGATATATTACTTCTTATACCTAATAGAAACTCAGAATTTACAATCCTACAGTTGTAAATATTTCTTTGATGGCTTGTATTATAAGTCTGTTCCTACTTTGTAAATCACATCGTCTAATCTATATTATTTCATATCGATTCATTATCATATAGTATGATTGACGTACAGTGGTAGACGCACAAAAACAGCAGTTTTTGCATCACTATTAGTTCCTATACGAAAAAAAAGCGATGTAGAAAAATATAACGACCACATAGATATTAATATAAAAAGATTCTAAGATTATGATTTACACTACGATATGGTATTTTCCATGTTCTCGGTTGAATTTGAAATTGAAGGTTTTTTAAAGGTCATTGTAGCATTAAATATATCGATAAATTTTTTGTTAATGTTGTTTAAAAAAAAAGAAAACGATAGAGTCTAACAATAATCGCATATGATGTATGTGTGACATCTCTTCTGCCATTTGACGGCCAAGTTTAGCACCGCGCGCGCTCATTGGTCAAATCAAATATCGAACGCTTCCCCGGCTTCCTGTAACGAGCTTCCGTTCCTTTTCACGAAGTTACTTAGGAAGATTGTAGGAAAGCAAACAGAAATATATTGTGCATTAAAGATTTTATATTAAAAAGTAAGACAGTATCACAGTTCACGATGATCGGTCGATTCCCACCCAGGAAAAATTATTGTGTGATAAGCACGGTCATTTGTTCTGTGTCTGAGTGTAATTTATCTATAATATGTATATTATCTATAATTTATACATAATATATAAGTATGTTTATCAGCTATCTGGTTCCCATAGTACAGGCTCTGCCTAGTTTGGGATCAGACTGCCATGTGTGAGATGTGTGAAAAAATATTATTATTATATTATAATTACTTAAAGCGCGGAGGAATAATAATATTTGTGAAATACTCTGGATTTCAAAGGAATTAATTTGCCCGGTTTTATTGATGATTCTGCTATTGTCAGTCGTAGCGTGATTGTTATATAGCCTTCGTCAATAAATGGGCTATCCAACACTAAAAGAATTTTCGAACCAGTAGTTCCTTAGATTCGCTTGTTAAACCAAACAAACAGCTTTATAATATTCATATAAATAAATGTTTCTAAATACTCTACAACTCGACTTGTGATTGCTTATTTATGTATGTATAACATTCATAATTGACCTTGATGCATTAAAATGTTGTTTTATTAGTATAGGTAGTTAACGTGACACTAACAATTGTCAATTATTATGTTAAATGTATGTTATTGCGTTTTACTCATAAAATGTATGATTATTATTGATTGTACTTGTACTAGCGTAGCGTACTAGTGTAGCGTACCGGATCAGCAAGCTGAAGTGGCAGTGGGCTGGCCATATTAGCCGCAGAACCGATAACCGTTGGGGAAAACGAGTTCTTGAGTGGAAACCGCGTCTCGGCAAACGTAGTGTAGGACGCCCACAGGCCAGGTGGAGTGACGATTTGTGCAAGATGGCTGGCAGGAGCTGGATGCGAGAAGCCCAAAATCGATCCAAGTGGCGTGCAATGGGAGAGGCCTATGTCCAGCAGTGGACTGCGATAGGCCGATGATGATGATGATGATGTACTTGTACTATTGTAGAAATAACAGATTTATATGTACTTTATCAAATCCGTGAAGCCCGTAATGCCTTCGTTAGTACGCTATTAGTAGTAAACTACACTCATCGTAGAGGATTAGCTAAGCGCTGAGTCAAACAACGGTCAACGGATGAAAGAATAGTATAGAAGATATATAGGGGCTCGTGGCTAAGTGGTAACCGAGTAGGCACATTGCAAAGTTAAGCAATCCTAGCCAGGTCAGTCATTAGATGGGTGACTATTCTTAACACATTGGGTCAGTTCCGGTTGCCATACGAACACCTGTGGCATTCGTTATTGGCAGTTGGAGGCCTAAAAAGTTCGACATTTTGTACAGAAGTTAGGTATCGTCTAGTACTTGGGTTGTGGAAGCTCTTAAGCTAGACTTCAAACTCGACACAGAACCTAGTTTGTGAAAAAGGCTCGGAGGGAGATACAGCTCCGTCGTCGCGCCAGGCCCTTGCACATTTCAACTGCTTACGTCGTTTTGCACCGACCGACAGTTGTCTGCCCCAACCTTAAACACGGACCCCTTCGGCAAACCAGCGGACGGAACACCCGATGGTAAGTGACTACCGCTGTTCACGGACACCTGTATCTCATACACACACACACACACCCGCGTGCATGCACACGTACAGATAGTCATATTTCCTACCACAATTGATATACTTTTGTTTTGTTTTTTTTTCTTATCTTGTTCTGCCTACTCCTACGAGTACAATGAATGATGATGAATGAATGGAAGCCTTTTTACCCATAATATAGGCTTTTGCCTCCAACCAGCTCCCAATGAATTCAAATTCATTTAATTCAATATTGCTATGTATATGGAAGAAATAAATTATTATTATTATCTCAAGGCGCATAACGCATTTCTGACGCGTTGCCGTCCTTTCAGTCACGTACCCTTTCTTTTTTTTTTCCTTGCGGTAATCCCCTCGGATACCACCTATCGGTGGCATGTCGGACTCGAACCGACTAAAACCGCACGCCGTCTCGGGTACTAATAGCCGGGGAACCAGGTATACCTTAGACAGGAAGTCCCTGGTGCCCCGACATACCTCGGGCCATCTACAACAACAGGTAGACGACCGAGGTTACAGGAGTCCCTCCTCCTGATCCTAGGGTACGAGACTGAGGGGGGGCCCTCAGTCTCGTACCATAGGATCATTAGGAGGGACTCCTGTAACCTTACTCACTTTATGAAGAGCAACAAAAAAAACTGCTTAACATCGATATTCTGTGAAGTATCATTCCGATCGAATCTGCAGTGCTATTCTCTAAGGAAACAGCCTTGCCTACATCGCTGTCACAGCGTCGAACTTTAAACTAACTTATCGTCGGATATAAAAGTTAGATTGACTGATAGAATACTTATTTACCTTTTTTTTTGTAAATACATATGTTTGTGTGTTTTCTATGTATACATAGAAAACACACAAACTCCGAAACAAATATTATTATTATTATGTATGTGTATATATCTGACGACCAAATGGCGTAGTGGTTTGTGTAACGGACCGCTATTACAAAGGTCACGGGTTCAATTCCCGCTCAAGTTAAACATTTGTGTGCATGAACATTTAATGTTTGATTTGGTCTGGGTGTTTCTATGTATAATAAGTATGTATTTACAAAAAAAAAGTAAATATGTATTTATATCACTTGTCTACCCATAGTACAAGCTCTGCTTAGTTTGGGACTAGATGGCGTTATGTAAATGTGGGACAATATTATATTATATTACCTATATTATTTTTACATAATACACATTATATCATAAATACATTTACCTAATATTAATACCTAATACGTTGAATTACAACGTAAAGGAGAATTCCTTGCCTGCCTTTTTAAATAAATGGAATGTAACGTTTGGAATATATTACGATTATGTATGTAAGGTTAGATTATATCTTAGTAAATATTTTTTTAATTACTTATCTGCAGTAATCGTAAATATTAAGTTATTATAACAATACTAACAAACTAAGAACCTAACAGCAACCGCGGTTGATTAGTTGTCATTTTTTGAAGAGTTCCGTCATCATCATCAGATCGATATGAAATTTAAATGGGACCATTTTGAATGGTCATATATGACGGAGTTATACCCGAACATACATAAGAAATATATATAAACATCCGAATTGATAACCTCCTCCTTTTTGAATTCGGTTAAAAAAAAGTCAATTAAGAAGTTGCGTTGCGAAGCGCGCTCGCTTCCAGGGAGCAGAGGGAACATGGGGTTCCCACACGGGGGGGGTCGTCTACTTATTGTAGATGGCCCGAGGTATGTCGGGGCACCAGGGACTTACTTTCTAGGGTATACCTGGTTCCCCGGCTATTAGTACTCGAGACGGCGTGCGGTTTTAGTCGGTTCGAGTCCGACATGCCACCGATAGGTGGTATCCCAGGGGATTTCCGCACGGAAAAAAAAAGAAAAAAAAAAAGGGCCCTTTTCATGCCCTGAGATACCTCACAGATACATTGAGTCAGAGGGAGGAGCAGTATAGGCTCTCACTCGGTGAATAGCTATAACTAACTTCTTAACTAATTACTTAATGTTTCAAGTTTACTTACAAAATTGCTGTAATGAATTGAAAGACGAGTAGCATGACCCAGTGGAAAGAGATGGTACCGATCAAATTAAATATTGCACTCCCAATAAGGCCTATCAGTAGCATGGAGCGTCTCCCGCGCGTGTCTGCCAAGTAACTCCACATATTTCCACCAATTAACAGACCTGGAAGCACCAAAAACATTAATTAGAAAAAGAATTAGAAATTAATAAACAGAAAAAAAGAAATAAAATAAAAAAATCTACTGTAATGAAAATACATAAATAATTTTGGGTGAGCATCAAACATATATAGAGAATTTGTTTGTTAGCAAACTAATTATTACGTAAGAAAATAATATCAAGATTTTTTTTCTTTTATTTGTCTGCATGACCCTGTGCCAATCAATTAATTCTTCTTTCGGTTTTTAATTCCAGTCTTCTTTATAGTAATTTCTTGTTTCAGTTTTCACGTACTAAATATATCACGTATCATTTTATGGTTAAATTTTATTTAATAGTTACTTATATATAACTGTTACTTACATAACTAATTCAATATATAATAACATTCCAAGCCCTGCTCATTTAAGCAATACAGTTATACAGTATATTTTATTCCTATTATTATCGACGGGCCTCTTGGTCTAGTTGTTAGTGCCCCTGACTGCTAATATATAAATATATATATATATATATATATATATATATTTTTTTTTTTTTTTAAGGCTTATTAGCAACCCAAATTACTAGTATTCCCGTTAACCCTTAAGCTAAATTGATTGTGTTAGGAGTGGGTTCACGTCGGTAGTGTATTGGTCCGGATTCGAACTCACGACGTCTTGATCGCAAGTCCAATGCCTTGACCACAAGGCTACCGCCGCTTTGTATGCATATGTATGTATTTAAAAATATTTAAGTATGTTTATCAGCAGTCTGGTTACAATAGCACAGGGTCTGCCTAGTTTGGGATCAGACGGCCGTTTGTGAGATGTGTGAGGTATACGAGTATTTCATTGATTCGTGTGGTGACGGATTAAGAATACGGAGTATCACTATCCCTATTCATCCCGTCGGTGTCGTATGAGCCAACTCAGGGAGAAAACTACGCAGGACAACAACACTGCAAATATAGGGAAAAATGGTAGTATGGTATAATAGACCAAAACCTCCTTTCTAAGGAGAGGTCTATTAAAGCTTGTTGATGATGATTTCATAACATTAAACGCTCTCGGTATGATGAATAAGTGTTTGGTAAACACGAGTTACTGCAGCAGATCTCTACGTCATCAACAGAACTGTAAGTTATAAATGATTCAAGGAGTACCTGCCGCTCATTTATTAATAGGTTCTATTCATGTAACTAGAAGGGTGTTAAGAAAGGTTCTAAAGTAAACTTTAAATAATGTGATCATTAATCCAAACAGGGTATGTCCTTATACACCTACATATAATTGTGTTAACGGGAATCGACACAATTAAGTAATAGGTTAGACAACGAAATTTGTTTGCAACGTCAGGATATTCGAAGTTACTTAATATTGTACGCATAATTTCCGTTAAAATAACTTTACGAGAAACGAGAAAATTTTATAGTTAGTATCGGAAAATAAACATCGCAATTCGTAAAAACGATTATTTTTGTTGACGTGGAAGTAATAAATTTGAAGTTTTGACATTTGTGACGTACTGATGATGCTTAAAATTCAGTTTGTTATCTCTTTTCTGGTATTATTTTATGACATGAATGTATTTATAATATTAGTTTTATATGCTTCAATTCCTTTATTGAGTGTTGCCTTTGATGAGATTTCCTACTTCAAGTTTTGTTTTATTGTTCAAAGTTGTTTTACAAGCGTAGGATTCTTTCTTAGTTAATTGTTTATCTATAAATCTAGATATCTGAGTAATCTTACTCGTCGCGTCGTAGACGCAGTCATTTTAATAATATCCTTCAATTGAATATTCAAATTGAAATATCTTGATTACTAATAATTGTTTCTCAATAAGTGTACACATGCAGTGATTATAAGTTTGTTACTTGTTTACCTGTATTTTTCTTCATGAGATATCGAATTAAGTAAGAACTTTGAACGTTAATGCAAATTCTAGAATAGGTACTCCAGCCATTTTAAGACAACTCCCGCACTAGGAATGTATCCTGTGTCGCGGGGATCTTTACAAACATACATAAAACGGACACAAAGAACACCCAGATTCAGAAAGACAATTTGTGGATCACACAAAGCGTTGTCCCATGTGGTGATCGAACCCACAGCACTCAGCGTGGTAGAAAGAGTAGAAAGAGAGCTTTAACCACTACGCCATCCGTGCAGTTGGTGCATTTGGTGGTTTCTGCATTTGCTAACGCGGCAACTTTAATATTATTTAGTGCACTATAGTAACTTAGATCTATGATTTACACTCTATACTCGCCAAACGTAATTGTATTTGTAGGTAAAGACTTATTTCATGGTGTAGGAGGTAAGCGAGTTGACGGGTCTCCTGATAGCATGTGACTACCGTCACCCATGGACAAAACGGACAGCCTCAAAGAAGCTGAATTTGCAGCAGATTCAATGGAATAGGGCATTATAGGTGGCGATAGTTAACACTTATTTTAATGTTCACAAAATTTAGAATATCTGTGTCAAAAAACTTTCAATTTTCTCTTTTTTAACATGTTTTTAAAATCTCGTCACGTTTAAATTACCAAATGAACTAGCTTATAAGTAAAAGTTTCGCGTGATAGAAGCCGTTATCGATATGATGGGAAACCATTACTGATAACGTGTACAGACGTTTCATGGTTACTACGATATAAATGGAGTGCAGTAATAAATGCAGCAAATTGAATAAAATCCAAATTTCTAGTAATCTATATTTTAACCCACTACGTTTCTCCATCTGTCCATGGCATCAAATGAAAACGGCCAAAAGGTAAATCCTCTCCGAATTTCTGACATCTATACTTACTTAATTTTAAAAATCTGAAGAGTTTATTCATTTTTTTGTGGTTGAATGCGCTAATTTCAGGAACTGGTTCGAATCGAAAAATATGTTAGTGTAGGATAGCCCGTTTACCGAGGAAGGCTATATACAGGCTATATAAAACGCCACGGCCAATAGGAAACGAGCATCAATAAATAACAATAATAATAAAAAAACAATAATAAAAAATGTTGCAAAAACACTGCACTGGTCAGCTAGTTGTTAATATAAATATGTTCATGTACAGGTCATAGTTTTCATTTTGAGGTACACAACTCTAACAATTGCGATTTGAAAACAGGGCCACAAAAAATCGTTTGAGTCGTTCAACTACACTAGCTAACCAACGAAACGGAAGGCCAAAGTTCATTTTACGGCACTTAAGAAATTACTCCAATATCACGAGAATTGCAGGATACCTAGAATGACGTCAATGAATACAATGTATCACATTGTATCTTTGATCAAGATAATGTTACCATGAGAAACTAACTATTCAATACCTTACCTTATTGTTGCTATTAACCATAATTATGGTATTTAAGCGGCTAACCTTAACTTGTTTTCAAATAAGCTGATTATGGACTACAAGGAATTGAACAATCTATTGCATGTTTATTGGTGTTCCATAATTTATGATAGCATTGTTAGAATTTTATGACAGTATATCTTTTACGTATGGTATAGTAGGCCAAAACCTCCGCTCTAAGGAGAGGCTCATGTCCAGCTGTGGACTATTAAAGCCTGTTGATGTGATGATGATATGGTATCTTTTACGCAAACAAGCACGCAAGCAAGTTTAGAAGTATTTAATAAATTGTCAAAATTACTTCAAATAATTATCACCAATTTTTATGAAGAAACTGCTGTAATAATTTGGCACGGGGCTCTCTGAACGTCGGTCGCATGCCACCGACGACCGACGGATGTCCGCCGCCGAAGCGTACGGTACTTAGCGTCATGGCACTGCTTGAACAATAGTGTTTGTACTCGGAGCAAAATGAACGAAAATCTATTTACATTGTTAAGAGAAGTGAAAGACGAACTTCTGGTGTTATCAAAAACAAGAAAACAAAAACAATCTTCATAAAATCACCGACCGACTTTAATTTGTCGTTTAATGCATCGAGCAAGATAGTATATTATATCGTATATAAATAAATAACAATTCATTTTCCTTTATTAACCCTCAATTTTAAGCCACGACGCCCGTCGCTATGGTACGAATGAACGTTCATACAACCCCGGGCCTTAGTTATCCGTCAAAAAGCCTTAATTTCGGGACTCAAGGAAATATATAGAAAAGCAATTCCTGTGAAACCCAATAAACTTGCCAGCGAAACTTGGAGGAAGAGGTAACTGGAAGAAGGGAAGTAACGGGAAGATTTTGGGATCCGGTAACCCCACTTACTCGGTAAAAAGCAATAAACAAAAACAGTTTCACTCCGGGAGTAAAAACTTGAAAATTTAAAAGTTTTTGATTAGAACTGGAATCTTTTTTGGTTTTTTCGATTCGATAAGTGCCGATATGGATATATATCTATGTTGTATGTATAGATACAATATATGTTTATATTATATATAGTTATATTATCACTGTATTTCAAAACAAACTCAACTCTCGTGTAATATATATCTCGTGTATATACGCGGCCAATATATTTAGATACTTGTATACAGAGGTTTCGATAACGGTAACAGTGTCGCGAGTTCAATAGTTTTTTCAAATCTCAAAAAATACATTCTTTTGTTTGTTGTTCAAAAATGCCCAAAGAAGTTTTCACTTCAAAAATTACTTAATTCCGGGATTCTGTCAGGCAGTTTTAATCAAATTAAGGGAGTTGGGGGGTGGGTTTGGTTCGAGCGTAGCCTCATTCACTTGGGGAAATTGCTTAACACGGGTTTTGTGTGAGGCCATGACATCAATCCTGTATGTACTGTATGCGGAAGCACTGCACTCCCAAGATTCAGTTCAAAATATTCAGTCATACTAAGAAGAAGTTCGTAATTAACTTCGTGTAAAATTGTTTTTTTCACAAAATCAATAGACAACTTTTTAAATACCTTCTTAAAGAATTGTTAATAAAAGAATACCTACCCACTAAGGAAATGAAAACATCAAACGTCAAGTATACGCCATTCGCAAATAACTTAGCACATTTATTGCACACTCTGAGTAGTCTTTGCATACTTTGTTGTTTACAGACAAATACAATGTGTTAGAATAGAGATTTCTTCATATTTAAAGATCGACAGATACTCGTATC